CTCACCGAGTCTCCACTCGACTCACTGATTCGAGTCTTAACTCGAAGGGTTTGGGGTTTCACAACCTGACTCGCCGAATCCAAGAACAGACCCACCGAGTACAAGGCACTCTTCATCTGACTCGACGAGCTGTTCATCCCACTTGTTGACTTGCTCCTGCTCTTCATGCTACTCGCCGAGTCCACTCAAAGGACTCGCCGAGTCCATTCAAATCTCCTTACATGAAGAGGACTTTTGAGTCATGCATGGACTCCAAGCTGTAGTTCTACCCTTCCCAAGCCTATTCCTCACGTAAATTTGCAAACTTTACGTGTAGAGAAGGAGATCTAGGCAAAATACACCATAAACTAGGGTTTAAGGCAAAGAGGCTCCATAATCAACTCAAGGGCTGATACTTTATGCTTCTCAAGACCATAATATGCTTAGATATGAAGTAGCAACTTCAGATCTGGCTTCTAACTCAAATGAATAGCATTATGGCTAAAAAGCCCCAACAACCACACATAGATCTAAGTGCAAAAGAGTCCAAGAACTAGATTATTACCTCCAAATGCTCAGAAATATACTCACAATCCCAGATCTATAGTCCTTTCTTGCACCTCCAAGTTCCTTCTTCCTTATCCAAGCTTTAATGCACCCTTCAAGGCAACAAATGGATAAAATAGAGGATATGACGGCTAGGGTTTGGTGTTTTGGGTTAGAGAGGCAGTAAAGGAACCCTAGGGTTGAGAATAAGGCGTTTAAATAGGCTCCAAGTCCCGATTTTAGGGTTTTCCTCGCACAGACCAGACTCGCCGAGTCCTTTTGGCCGACTCGCCGAGTCGGTCACTTACTCCTCGACCCAGATCCCGCTCGGACTCGCCGAGTTCCTCCTTGGACTCGCCGAGTCGCCCTTTAAAATTAGGGTTTTCTTTCCTTTCTTGGCCTTCCAGACTTCGGGTGTTACAGGTTCTAGGTAAGGGAAAGGCATTATCTTGCTAAAGGCTGAAGCTTTATGATTATAAGGACCAAGTTGAGCCTAGATTTGAAGTTGCAACTTCAGATCATGGTCCAACACTCGAAATGAAACATTAATCAAGCTATAATGGCCATAATCTCAAATATAGAAAGATCTAGCTAGAAAGAGATCAAGGTAATGACTTGTTACCTTCAAGTGATGCTAAACTAGAGTAGACTTCAGATGCACAACCATTCCTTGCCTCAAACTTCTTGATCTTCAAGCGCATTGCACCAAGATCTTCCTTCCAAGCTTATCAACACACAAATATGGAAGATAAAACACGATTTAGGGTTTCTGAGCTCAAAGGGGGTTGTAAGGGAGGCTAAGGACCCTTTAAATAGGGTGAAAAACCCCGTAAATTAGGGTTTCATCCTCCAGCTCCAACTCGTCGAGTTGTGTTCTCTGACTTGTCGAGTTGGTCACTTAAGTTACGCGGCCAAATCAGTTCCTACTTGACGAGTCAGGTCATCCAACTCATTGAGTCGACCTTTCAAAATAAAAATATAAGACCGAAAAGTTTATACCTGAGATTCGGGGTGTTATAATTCTCCCCCAATTGAACTAGACTTCGTCCTCGAAGTCCACTGCGGTGAACAACTCCGGATAACGCTCTTGTATCTCAGCCTCCGGCTCCTAAGTCTACTTAGACCCTATTCGGTGCTCCCATTGTACCTTCACCAAAGGTACCTCCTTGTTCCGTAGAACCTTCACTTTCCTCCCCCGTACGGCCACTGGCCTCTTTATGTAATTCAGGCGCTCGTCGACCTGTATGTCCCCCAAGGACACTACTGCTACCTCATCTAATATGCACATTCGCAACTGTGACACATGTAAAGTGTTTTGCATCTGAATAAGCTCCTCTGGTAGCTCTAGTCTATATGCCACCTTGCCAACCCTAGAAATGATCCTTAACGGTCTGATGTATCGGGGACCCAATTTTCCCCTCTTCCTGAAGCGGATCACACCCTTCTAAGGCGAGACCTTCAGGAGCACCATGTCACCGACCTGAAACTCCAACTCAAAGCGGCGTCTATCGGCATAACTCTTCTGCCGACTTTGTGCATCATGCAACCACTATCTGATCTGCTGAATCCTCTCGGTAGTTTGCTGGACCACCTCGGTCTGACCCATCACCTTGTGGCTGACCTCCCCCCCCCCCTAACAGACTGGGGTGCTGGAATGAAAGCTGTTGTTGTAGGAGAACTCTGCCAGAGGTAGGTAGGAGTCCCAGCTCCTACCGAAATCAATAATGCAGGCTCTCAACATATCCTTGAGAGTCTGTATGATTCTCTCACTCTGACCATCAGTCTGCGGATGGTAAGCTGTATTGAAGTGCAGTTGAGTGCACAGTTCCTTGTGGAACTCTATGCAGTTATAGCGATTTAAAATAAAATATCAGTCAAGGATCAATATTCGATATATAGGTTATCGTGGTGGGATATTGGTGGGATATCGATATTTTTATGTTATGTAGGGCCATTGTAACCTTGTGTTTTATTGGATGAATACATGGTCATTAAGTAAAACATATAGTAAATTAGAAAATGTTTGAAGCAAATGTTTATCAATCTTATAAAACCCCCACCATATATCTACGTTTTAATAATAAACGAAGTGACTTAATAAATAATTTAGCTATAAACGTTATTTCACCGCTATCCCACCGATATTTGTCAAATATCTGTCAAATAGCAGTCAAATATCGGTCAATATCGGTCACTATCGCCGCTATTTGTGGTACCGCTATTTAGTACCGATATTTTACCGGCTACCAATAACCGCTATCCCACCGCTATCTCACCGCTATTGACTGCATAGGTGGAACTTTTTCCAGAAACGGGAGGTGAATCGAATATCACGGTCTGAAATAATGGAGACCAGTACCCATGGCGGGCAACGATCTCACAGATATATAAGTCGGCCAGCTTCTCGGCCGATGAACTCTCCCATATCGCTAAAAAGGGGGCTTTTGGTCAATCGATCAATGATGACCCAAATAGCGTCGAAGCCCATCGTTGTCCTCGGAAGCTTGGTGATGAAATCCATCGTGATCTGTTCCCACTTCCAAATGGGAATCTACAGGGGATGTAGCTAACCATGCGACCTCTGATGCTCGACCTTGACCATCCGACATGTCAAGCATCTCTCAACGTACGATGCGATCTCCCCCCTTCATGTCTGGCCACCAATAACTCAAACGCAAATCCTGGTACATATTGGTGGTCCTCGGGTGAATAGAGAAGTGAGACTTATAAGCCTCTTCCAATAGAATTTGTCTGACCCCACCAGACGCCGGAACCCAGACCCGACCGTAGCGGGTTAATATCCCCCCGACTATCCTTCACAAACCGGGTGTTCTCGCCCCGAATCTTCTCAAGCTTCCGATTCTCTTGACGCATACCCTCAGACTGATCTTCTCTGATCAAACTTACAAGTGGAGAATCCACTGATATCCTCATACATATCATTGGAGTGGAAGATCCAGCTGACTTGCGGCTCAGAGCTTCGCAACTACGTTCGCTTTACCTAGGTGGTAAAGGATCTCGCAGTCGTATTCCTTGACTACATCTAGCTACCTGCACTGTCTCATGTTCAGGTTCGGCTAATCCATGATGTGTCTCAGGCTCTTGTGATCTGATTATATGGTACAACGGACCCCATAGATATAATGTGTCCAAATTTTGAGAGTGAATTTTCATTCCAATCCGCATCCCCATCCCTATCGGGGAATATAAATAAACCCCCATCCCTACCCCTAATGAGGAATGAGGATACCCAACAAGGAATCGGGGATTTCTTTTCCTCTTTTAATATGGAAACTTTTTCGTAAAGAAAAACTCTAAATTTCAATTTTTTCAGTGTAATTTTAAATATTTTCCAAAATATAAAGATATCTTTAGATTGCATAAAAAATATAAACAAATTTTCTAGCAAGTTTAAATAAATACATGAAAAATTAAGTAAAAAAAAAATTATCAAAATGATATTTGAGGTCAAATAGATAAACCAAATGGAAAAAAAGTATACACGAGTTTAAGTTAGATAAAAGAAAAAGAAAAAAAATATAAATTCAACAAAGTATTTACTAATAAGTTAGGCTACCTGGATCAGATTTTATGTATTGTAAAATTTATTATAAATATATGTTTTGTATTTTTTTTATATATTAGTATATATCGGGTGCGGGTCTAGAGTCGGTTATTAGAGTTATCCCCATCCCCACTTTTTTATTCAGGAATTCCCCATCTTCGTCCCCATCCCTGGTCAACTTGGGGATTCCCCAGTCAAAACGGATGCAGGTTTCGGGTTCCTCATCAGGTATAAGGCTTTTTGCCATCCCTAATTCTTGATATGAATTCATTTTTTTTACTATCGAAAACTTAATTAAAGTTTAAGCTGTAATAAACACAATGTGAGATTATAGGTTCGATTCCTAACAACCACCATCAACTCCAAAATGCTCATAGATGCTCATGAATCCTAGATTTCGGAGTAAGTGATATTTTATAAATTTTATAAAATATTGATTATTTTTCATATATTTTATTCATATGGAGAGATTACTTAATTTCAAAATAGTATTATTTATATATACTAAATAAATGAAGCTTAGGAATAGTAAGCTGGATATTTTTTTGGCAGAAATGGTCCCTACAATTTGCTCCTCATTCTTTACCTATTTTGATATTTTTGGTCCTTGCAATCAATATTTTTATATTTTTTAGGAACCTTTTAATATTTAAAGTTTGGCCACAAAACTTTAACGGTTTGACAACTTTAATCAATTTTCTAAAAATTTGGTAATTCCTACCCCTTTAATTATTTAACCGTTTTGAAACTTCTGATCATTGCAGCCAAAACTTTTACATATTTTTATAAAAGCATGAAAAACGGTCCGGGGCAAAGTCTGGGCTTTTCATCCTTGCACTTTCTACGTCTGTCATATTTATCGATTCGGAAACAATATTGAAAGCTTCTGACCCCACGTAACGGGGTAACCTTACTAGTTTTAATTATAGACAAAATTGCAAAAATGGTCCCTGTGGTTTGCATTTTTTCAGGAAAAAAGTCCAAACCACGAGTTTTTTGGTTTTGTGGTCCTTTTGGACTGGTTTGTTTGTGAGAATGGTCCCTATACTTAACACCCGTTAAAAAAAATCCGTTAACCCCCTCATGTGCCTTGCACGTGAGGGTATTTTTGTCTTTTTACTTACAGTGTCAACACTTCCTTCTACCTTTTATCCCTCATTTACAATCCCAAACACCCGTCAACTCCCCACCTCCCTCCTTCTTCCTTCTGCTCCATTAAACCTGCAAAAAAAAAAAGTCGTTATCGAAAGAACCTAATCGAAGCAAAAGGAGACAAGGTCATACTTTAAAGTCGAAATGGTGTACGTAATGTGGCAGATCAGACCAAAAAATGAAGTTGTCGACGTATCATCCTTATATGGTAAGTTGCTCTGTTTTCTTAAACATTCCTATTTTTCATTTTACCCTTGATTTATACTAAAATCCGCCAAATTTTGACTTTGTTATCATGTACAATTTTGACTTGTAGCGGGTGCACCCACATGGTTTAGTATTAAGCTTCATCATGGTGGGAAGTTTACTAAGTTACCTGACATAAAGTATACTGGAGGTGAAGTGCGTTATGTTGATTATGTGGACATAGATGAGTTTTCTGTACATGAACTTGATGCCATAATGCTTGACCTAGGTTACCCAGACCCACGGATGATTGAATTGAGTGTTGAATCCCCAGTGATATACTACCATTTCAGGATACCCAATGGTGACTTTCAATTTGGTCTTAGAGCTTTAGGGAATGATCAGGATGTTATCAATCTTTCTAAATTTATTCAAAATAACAAGTTGATTGAAGTGTACACAGAACATGGGAAGACAAATCTACTCACATACTTCATGTCTCCAAATGCAAAGGGTAAAGTTGTCATTGAGGAATTACCAGAAAATGATGATCAAGGGGCTAAATATGAGGCTGAAGTTCATGTAGAATCTCCATTGAGAAATATGAACCATGTCAATGATGAACCAATTGGTGAGTACATGTCTTTGATTCTTTTTGGGAGTAAAACTGATGCATTCTCTCCAGAGTATAGAAGGGGTAGAGTTGGGAATTCAAAAAGAGAGGAAGGTTCTTGTAGCAAGAGGCTTAATTTAGAGGATATTGATGATTTAAAAGAGAAGGAAAACACTAATGAGGGTGTTAAGGAGGTTCATGAGGCTGCAACTGTTGTTGAAGGATGCTACAATCCATTTACTTCAAATATTGCTAATGTAGGGGATGAGATGATTGGGGTTCATGATAATGACCATATTGATGGATGCTACAACACCCCACCCATTAATGATGATGAACAATATAATGAACTTTTTGACAACCTTATGGAAAATTTAAATGGAAGTGATGAGTATGTTGAAGAGTATGAAGGGGATGTTGAATCTGAAGAGAGTGATGAAGAGTATGAAAAGGATGAAGGTGATGATCATGATGGGAAACAATCAGAAAATGAAGATAAAGTGGATGACATAATGGATGAGGAGAACAATATAGAAGATGTTGATGTGGACATGGCAGACTTCTTTCTAAATGTTGAAAGTGATGTTGAAGGAGCATGTATTAATGATGGTCATGAACCTGAAGATATGGAAGTGATCAACAATGAGGAGTTCGAATCATTGGATGAAGGATCAGACCAAGACAGAGAAAGAAGAGCTCTCATAAGAAATTTGGGAAAAGAAAAAAGGTGCAACCTTGGGTCAGTACATATACAGTCATTCTCAGTGGGGCAAAAGTTTAAAAGTAAAAAAGAATTAAAGGAGTTAATTGATGTGCACGCACTAGAAACAAGAAGGAATCTATTCTTTAAAAAAAATGACAGTCAAAGGCTTAGGGCACAGTGCAGAGGAGTTGTACCTGTCATCAATAAAGGTCAAGTGGGGACTAAACCTACCACTTCAAAAAGCAAGGGCAAAGAAGTAAAGACACAAAAAGAAACATGTGGTTGGTATATACATGCATCTAGGTCAAACCCCGAATCTGATTGGTTTATAAGGACCTTAAACCAAACTCATACATGCTTACAAACAAGAAAACTCAGAGCTTGTACTGCTTCTTTAATCTGCAAGAAAATCATAGATCAAGTTGAGGCAGATCCGAAGATTCCTTTGAGAGCCATACAAGATCACTTTCAAAAGACCTACCAGGTGGGTATTTCAATGGATAAGGTGTTTAGGGCAAAAGATATGGCAAGAAAGCATGTAACTGGGGACTACACAAAACAGTTTGAGTTGTTGAGGGACTATGCTCTTGAACTTCAAGCTACAAACCCAGACACAACAGTCAAAATAGATGTGTGTCCTAATGGCAACCCTGCATCCCCAACAAGGCAGTTTAGAAGGATTTATGTATGCTTGGGTCCACTGAAAAAAGGTTTCAAAGCATGTCTTAGAGACTTAGTAGGTTTGGATGGTGCCTTCATGAAAGGCCCATTCCCTGGTCAGGTTCTTACAGCAGTTGGTCTAGATTCCAACAATGGAATTTATCCCTTAGCCTATGCAATTGTTGAGTCTGAAAACACAGCTAGCTGGAAGTGGTTTTTAGAAAACCTTGGGGATGACTTGGAGCTTGGGAGCAACTCAAACTATACTTTCATAAGTGACAGGCAAAAGGTAAATTAAAACTCATCAATTGATCATTTAGATTGTGTTTTTTTACCAAGAAATTAATTCTAATTATTGTATGTTGAGTCATGTAGGGATTACAAATTGCAGTTGATCAATTGTTTCCCAATGCTGAGCATAGGTATTGTATTAGACATATTCATGACAATATGAGAAAGAAGTGGGGGCAAACTGAGTACAGGGACCATTTATGGAGGTGTGCATCAGCAACCACCATTCCTGAGTTTGAACATTTGATGAAAGAGTTTAGTGAGTATGATAAGGAGGCATGTCAATGGTTGAAGCAAATTCCTCCTGTACATTGGGCAAGGAGTCATTTCTCAGGTAATTGTATATGTTTGCATATGGTAAAGATTATGTGTTTCAGTTATTTATCAGCATTAATTGTATGTTATTGTAATGTGCAGGAAGAGCTGTTTCTGATGTGTTGATTTCAAACATGTGTGAAGTGTTTAATGGGAAGATAGAGAAAGGCAGGGACAAACCTGTAATTTCATGTTTAGAGTTCATTAGGGAGTATCTAATGAAGAGGATATGCAATGTCATGAAGGCAATGAAGAAGGCTAAAGGTCCACTAACACCTACAGCAACAGACATCCTAGATGCAAGGAAAAAAGGTGCTTCACAATATATTGCTAGGTGGAATGGGGCAAACAAGTATCAAGTCACTGCAGCATTGCAAGATCAACATGTGGTGGATGTTAGGAACCAAACCTGTACTTGCAGAAAGTGGGAATTAATGGGAATACCTTGCAGGCATGCAATTGCAACTCTGAATGAAATGAGCAAAGACCCTGAGGCTGAGCTTGACATTTACAAGTGGGTACACAAGGTGTATTGGCTAGAGACATGGCAAAAAGCTTATTCATTTAAGGTGGAACCAATTAAAGGGAGACCCATGTGGCCTAAAAGTAATTGTCCAACAAAGCTAATCCCTCCTCCACATCACACTCAGGTGGGAAGGCCTAAGAAAAAAAGAAGACAAAGTGAGGGTGAAAGGTTAAGCAAAAGGCAGAAGGCAAGTGAAGGTGATGGAGTCAATGAGATGCAAGGAGAAAATTCCCAAGGGCCAAGAAATGATGGAGTGCAGAAGCTATCAAGGAAACATGTTAGTGTTACTTGTAGCAAATGCAAGAATAAAGGACACAACTCTAGGACCTGTAAAGGGCAAGGAGGGAATCAATCTAAGAAGTGATTGTGGTTATTTGTTGTGGTGCAATGACTATTTAGTTTCTTGTTGTTAAAAACTGTTTGTTTTTGAAAACTTTAGTTATGGTTTGATGATGTGGTTATGTATGGTGCACAGACACTTGTATGCTTAACTTGGTAATGGTTTTTGGTTCCACTCATGTGGTTAATGGAATGTTCATTTTGGTAAATTTATGACATGTATTTTGGTAATGTACTTTTGTTACATTTTGGTTCTATTTATGTGCTTATATCTGACAACTGATACACATTTTGAACACAACTGATACACATTTTGGAATTCATTACAAACATGATGAAGTCAAATTACAACAAAATTATACCATTTTTACCCTGCATCACTTGATCAACAAAAATCCCCACATTTGCCTAACCCTATCCCTTACATAGACCAAGTACTAAAGATAACAATCACAAACATAAACCAACTTGCACATAAATACATCTTCAGCTTGAAACCTTCATCCTTCAATGCATCACACCTTGCCTCCAACATGTTGTTCCTGCTCAAAAGTCCATTGCACTGTTCCTGTAACATGTTGATACTTCTTACCAGCCCATTACATCTTTCCTCCAATGTATTTATGTTTCTTAGAAGACCAGGTATGATGGTTTTACTCCTAGCACAAATAGGTGGGTCAACCCACCCGATAAACCCACAAACAGAATCCTTAGTAGGGCAAGCATAAAACCTCCTGCCGGGATTCAGTGGTGTCCAAGACGTTTTCACCAAAGCAAGCTTTCCACAAAAACAAACCACCATTGTTCGATTGCAAGTCAGGAAAGGAGAAATGGAAGATAATAGTCGTTGGGGAAGAACAGTTAAGAACGTTGGGGAAGAAGATTTGTTGGGGAAGAAGCTGGGAAAAGAAAACGATATATAAAGGATGTTTTATTTTTCCATATGCAAAAATGGTCCCTATAAGTAAAAGGATAGAAATACCCTCACGTGCAAGGCACATGAGGGGGTTAACGGATTTTTTTTAACGGGTGTTAAGTATAGGGACCATTCTCACAAACAAACCAGTCCAAAAGGACCACAAAACCAAAAAACTCGTAGTTTGGACTTTTTTCCTGAAAAAATGCAAACCACAGGGACCATTTTTGCAATTTTGTTTTAATTATATTATTTTATATGTAGAAGTACACAACATTCTTCTTAGTATTTTGAAAATTAAAGTACACGTGGCATGTCCCTGATTGTGGGCAGGAAGCTGATATGCCGGCACTGCATATCAAAAAAGTACGGAGGTCTCAAAACTTCCCAAGTGGCTCCTTCCAAACTCGAATTTCATTTTACGTTGACTCACTCTCTTCAAACTTTAAATCCCAACAATACCCCTAAAACATCCATCAATACTCTCCAGCCACAAGGACCTTTACGTAACTTTACATGGCGCCGGCATCGTATCTATTTAGCCGCCGGTATCAGAGGGAATGTTAGTTTCTATTCTTTCTCCTTCTCTCAAACCATGACGATCTCCGATAACCCTCTACTGGAAAAATCCCGGACAGTGAAATCTCGATACCTTTCACCCGTCTCCGCCGCCGAACCACCACAATCTTTACCGCCGTCTCCGAATAACAACCACCCTCTCTCTCCCAATCGCCACCACAGCCAGAAACCAAAATCATCTTTAAAAAACAGTACTGGATTGCTTCGTGGAGTTTGGCCTTCTTCAACTCCTCGCTCATCAAAATCCCACAATGAAAACATACCCACCACCGCCAACGCCACCACCACTGCCAGTGCCACCAGTACGACGCTGGCTGATTACCTTGGAGACGATCGGAAAAAAGATGGCGTTGGTCCGAAGTTTCTTAAGCAAAGAAGCTGTTCGGAGTTTAGTCGGTTTGAGAACGATCCGAAGAAACAAAACAACTTGAAGGAGAATCATAAGCCCATTTTCGGAGGTGGGTCGATGAGATACACCGGGAAGTTCAGGTTTCCCGGAAGATCATCGACTTCTTCTTCACCAACCTCATCTGATGACGGAACTAGAGGAAAGCTCACAGGTGTGTTCATCTCCTTCAGTTTTAGCGTTAATATTAATATGATTAAAGTTTTTAGTATTTTTAGTCATACACTCATAGTTACATCTACATAATATTTTGATGACACGCGTTTTTTTTTAAATTTTATATATGATAACATGATTTTTTTTTTTTTTTTTCATACAATCATTGCAACTGTTTATTATTGGTTTAAAAGATTCAATATTTTACTGGAAAACTATGTAATTAAGCGGTTTGGTAACATAGTTATTGAACAAATTAGTACAAAAAAGTTTTGTCGTATAAATTGAGAAAAAAGTTTGAAACATTGATACATAAATTAATAAAATGTAAAATATTGTTGAATAAATATATATAAACAATGCCACACCCAAGTAACCGTTGCATATTTTAGTCGGTATGATTATATATTTTGCATAAAAACATTTTATTATATAATTAAAAAAAAAATGTTTAAGCTAAGTTGCATAAATTAATACACATCATGCAGAATCCTAAATCTAATGTTCCACACTTTTCCATGATAAAATTGCTTCTAAGCTTTCATGCTTTTAAATACAAAGAAATCGAGTAAATATGCATACTTAAACAAGGTATATAAACTAATTAAATAAATAAGAAAACATTTATTATTATTATTATTATTATTATTATTATTATTATTATTATTATAATATAAATAAAATGTGGACCTCTTTTTACATTTGTATAAATTAGTCAAAACGTTTGCATTAATTACAAAAAAACAGAGAGGATTTTAGTACGGTGCACATAGTGGCACGGATAATTTTTGATTTTTCTGGATGCAATGCAAAATTTTTTGATTGTTTTCTTTTTAAACTACAATCATGCTAAAATTTCCCGTAACATCCTTAGTATGAAATCCTGTATCTACGTTTACGAATAAATAAAGAACAAAATAAATGTATAGAAGGGTTTGAAGGTATTGAATTCTATAAGTATCAACAATGCAAGTTTAAGACCAATAGTGCTAATCCATTTTACATTCTCTGGATACCAATAATATGCCACATCATTTTCCTTATTATCTCATCACCTATAAAATAGTCATCCTCATTTCTTAATTTTTTTTAGTTCTTTTAAGAGTAAATTACACGAATCTTTAATTTAAAAAATTAAGTCAGACCTTCTTTTGTTTTGTTAAAAGTTGCATGTTATCCTTCTGAACATAAAAAGACATTTTTTTTTCCTTATTTATTTATTTCTTGATTTATTTTATATTGATTAATTATTTATTAATTTGTTTGTTATAAAAATAAATATTTATTGCCTTCATCTAATAAAATAAATAGGCAAACTCTTAGTCCCTAGGAACGTTGTCTATCTTTCCCCCTATTTCTTCTTCAATGTGTCGGTGCATCTCTGACTCCGACAACATCCCCTCTCCACTAGTGTTACCAGACCAAGTTACAAGTCCATGTATGTGATATTGAGAGAGAGGGCAAGAGCGACAGATAAATGGAACGATTAAGAAAGGCAGTCGTCCTCCCCTTCAAACTATCATCGTCGTCCCCTACAAACCACTGATGCGTTCTCTGTGAGCTCCAAGAAACCCCTCACCAGACACTACACCTCGTCGACTTCTGGATCTACAACTCCCTGACTAGAATCCCAACGAAACCTGCTCCGCTAGTGGGTAGTGGTTGCTTGAGTTATGAGATAAGAAGAACCTACCGAAACCACATCTCCCCTATTGAAATCGCCCCATCTTTTATGTGTGGAGTTTTTTATGTTACAAAATTAAGATATTACCTATAAAAAGGGTGTAAATTTGGATAATATAGTAGGCTCAGTTCTGCAAGATTGGAACCTGACAAAGGGGATCACCCTTCACCGAAAAACCGATGCTGGGAGAAATTAGATGCAAAACAATAACATCATAGCCTCGAAATGCATATCAGAGCATCTCCAACCCACTCACATTTCCATTATTTCCCCCATTCCCCCCAATCTTCTCCAATCCACCCCCATTTATTCCCTTATTTCGGGGGATATAAATAGTATTACACCAAATATAGCGTTATATTATTCATTTCTTCCAAAATGGAGATAAACTTTGTGTTGTTGGTTTTAGTCCCCCTGTTTATATATTTATACATTCTAATTTATTTTTACCTACTAGTTATAATTTAAATGTAATATTTAATACTTATAATATTTTCTTATATATAAAATTTTATTAACTAGTTATAAATATAAAGTTTGTGTTTTGTTTATCAAATTTTTATAGAAAGTTAGATACATATTGAAATTTTAAAAAATATAACGTATTTTACAAAAACTTATAAATGTGTTATAATTATAATCTTATTTATTTAATATTATTGTAATGAAAAAATATAGATTATAATTTTGTTAAAACCAAATTAGTAAAATGAGTGTGTTTGACAATCTATGTAAGTTGAAAGAATGAAATATACTTTTTGGAGTAAAAAATGAGGTAAAAAATGAAGTAAAAAATAAAGTAGGATTGGAGATAAAATACTATTTATTATATTTTTTACTCCATTTTTTTGGGGGGAAAATGGAAATGGATTTGAGATGGTCTCAATGGAAATAAGTACCAACAGATCAATGAACCACAAGGACTAAAATGTAAGTTACTCTAAAGATATATAAATTAAAGCAAATATTTGCAGATTGAAAGAGGGCAAGATAGTTCGAAGATAAAGGTCTCCGGTCTCAACTGCTATGGTTGTGGGGAGAAAGAAGAACGGAGCATCGGTTCTTGGTCTAGTTCGTTGTAAAAAAACCAGGTAGATAAAGGAGATGATAGTGGCAAATGGTGGAGACAGAGGAGATGTAAGGGTTTTGTTTTTCAGAGAGAGAAAGAAGGCCTACTTAATGTTTTTTAATATTATAATTAATAAAGAAAAAACAAAAAAAACAAATAATAATAAACAAGGGTAATATAGTCTTTTCTCGTAAGGGATGAAGCGTGCATATTTAAACTAACGAGGGATGAGTGTGTAACTTTTAACCAAACAAGGGACGATCCAAATTAATTTTTGAAATTAGGGGCTAAGCGTGTTGTTTGATACTTGGACGATGGCCAATTAGTGTAATTTACTCTTTTTTTAATAAAATGTATAAAAAATATAATTTATTATAAACAAAATCGAAATTAATAATTAATTTAATTGTTGGAAAGGAATTATTTTAATTATTTTCTATTGATTATATTAACTAGTTTTACAATTAATAAAGATAATATTGAAGGAATTCAGATTAGGCCTTGCAATCGTGTCGTGTTCGGGTTGGCGTGTCGCGGGTTGGCGGGTCAAAATATATCAACCCAAACACGACCCATTTAAATATACAGGTCACGGGTTGACGGGTTTGGAACATAAACTCATATATGACCTACCAACCCGTTTATTTATACGAGATCACATATTGGCGGGTTCGTGGGTCAGATTCCATAAATAAAATTGACAATTAAACATAAATAAAATTTTGATGGTTGATGCAAATATATCCAAATTTTAGACAGTTAACTACTTAAGTCTTAAAGATCCAAATGAAAATAAAAAACATTCGTAGAAACATGTTCAAATAAAAAGTTAATACAAACATAGATAATACTTATTAAATATTAATACTTGATACATAAATATACTTAAAAATAAGAAAAAATATATATCTTTTTAATTAAAAATATAAATGGGTTGGCGGGTCAACCCGTTTATTTTTTGAAAAACCCATATATGACCCGTTTAATAAACGGGTTGGTAGGTTGGCGGGTTGAAAAACTCAACCCAAATCTATTTATTTCGTGTCGTGTCGTGGGTCGTGTCGCGTGTCGTATCGAGAATTGCCAGCCCTAATTCAGATCCATCACTTGCGGTTTTGGATTCATCTTTTGCCTCTGGATTCAAATATGTTGTCTACCCTGAAATGACCCATTTGTATTTAGATATGGTTTCAAACATGCCTCAATTGACCCATTTGTATTTAGATATGGTTTCAAACATGCATCCAAATTGAGGCAACAACTAGCAGAAGTAGGAGAGAGAGTGTATGTGGTTGTGATTGGTCGTTTCTATTTATTTTTTTGTAATTTTTTTTTTTTTTAAATATTCTTTTAAAAACATTCTTAACATACCACCACTCCCTAACATCATGCCCTTGTTTATTTGGCATACATAAAAATATGCTAATGCTTAACACATGCTACTGCTTCCCATAACACACAGAGGGATGAATGTATTCTAAGTTGATCGATGACGTGAAGGTTGAATCAAAGTGGGGAGTTCAACCCCCCATTAAACAACTAAATGAAAAAAGTGGGTCCTTATTTCCAAATAAATGATCAAAAATGTATATTGATTCGACAATTAAGTATATTTTAAAGAGTTGAATGAATTATAGAAATCAAATGCTAAAATCGTATGTTTTTTGACTGTTGATATGCCAAATCATTAAATTTTATAGTGTTGAGTGAATTGTGGATATATATAGTTATATTTAATATTTATTACTGAATTTGGTTCCTTTTAATGTTGACTAAAATTGTGACAGATTACTACTTATTCAAATTCTAATTCCTTTTATTAATTACATTCCCTTAAAAAACGTTATATGAAGCAATCGTCACGTAAGTGTTTTGTGGACTGTGATGTAGATATAATGCCTGGAAGATTATCAGTAGATGAAAACGCACTTCGTCGAAGATCATACTCCCGACCAAGATCAGATCATTCTTTCTCTGACGACTCGGAGTGTAGTGATATGGACTCTTCGTTCATCTCAAACTCTCTGACATCATACATGGCACCCACATTGAGCTCTAGAAAATCCGCAATTAAAAAGGTAATGAAAAAGGCAAATTCGTTATCCAAATGGGGTTCATCACCAGGCCGACCTGAATCACCCCCTACGCCAACAAGCACGTCGTTTTCAAGCTCGAAGCCTCCTACAAGTCCCTCAAAAACAGGAAAAAAGAACTTTTTGCATATGGGTCTTGATTTGATCAAAAGTAAGAAAAACGGGCCGGGTTGTTCGTCACCAATTGGTTCGGGTATGGGAATGGTGGAGACTGTCCATCAGTTACGAATGATGCATGGAAGTTGGATGAGGTGGAGGTATGCCAATGCTAGAGCAAATGTTGTTAATGAAACCCTAGATGATAAGGCTAAGGTACGTATGTTACAAACTTTGACATTATCAATGTCAACATATTATTATATATAGTAAATTTTTATTTATTTAAGTGGTTTTTATTGGTAACGAGTCAAATTAATAAAACGTTGAAAATTCGGTTGGTAATAAAGCAGGTAAAATGTGTAGAGAAAAGTGCCTCATGTCATAATCAAATTTAGTCATAATTAGAATTGGATACTAATTTTAAGGTAAATTGTTTGCCATAGGTACCAACTTTTCAAGTTTTTGTACTTTGGGTAAGTAATAATTTTTTTGCCATGCAAGTTAACTAACAACTGAAATGTGTTAATTAATCAAGGACAAATGTAACACGCGAAAGCATTAAATTGTATAGTATTGCCATTCAAGTTAACTTACTTATATATTATATTTTTATTAAATTAATAAATTAAATAAGATAAAAAAAGGTTTCCATATGGTCAACACAAATTCTACCTACACGACCCATCTTTGGAATATATTAATTGTCAATGTGAACCTATTTTTAGCTTATAGACAGGGCTTCAAATGAAAAGGCTATAATATAGAGATATTGAAGTTCTATATACTTTAACCGAGTTATATTCTTATTATAACTATCAATACATTTTAATTAACATGTTAGCTGTTTTGGATCTTATAATATACGGTATGATTGGTTACAGAAGGATTTACTACACGCATGGGAAAACATCACAAAGTTGCAACAATCCGTGTTACAAAAGAGATTACGATTGGAGAGAGAGAAGTTAGAAATGAAGCTCAACTTCATACTTCATTCCCAAGTGAGTATTTTACATGTTTAAGAATGAATTGTATAATAGTACTATTTAAACATGCATCCTAATTACTAGTCTCTTGTAATGCATCGTGATCATGTAGATGAAGATGTTGGAAGCATGGAGAGACATGGAAAAGAAACACATATCAAATGTTTCGATGACAAAAGATTGTTTAGAGGGTGTTGCATGTAAGGTACCCCTCATCGAAGGCGCTAAGGTAATTGTCCTTATATAATCATGAACCAAAAAAACTTTCAAGAAAGAAATTGGGAATATATAAAAGAAAATTGCAAGAAATAATATATATATATATATATATATATATATATATATATATATATATATATATATATATATATATATATATATATATATATATTATACTCTTTCTGTTAATATAGATAATATACTTTGTTTTTCACTAATAATATTAGTGTACTTAATTACAATATTTCTTTATCCATAATATGTAGAAGCACACTTATACATTTAAGCAGTGGCAGATGCAGAACATTTTCATAGAGGTGGCACTAATATTTTTTTTCCAAATAAATCTATATTAGTAGTGTCATTCGTATTTTAAGCCGGTGCACCCAATAAAAAAACATTTTTTTTTACAATACATGCTGGCATCGGAGCAGTGGCCCGAGACCCCTGGGCACCACTAAGGTCCGCCACTGCATTTAAGATAGTGTTATTTTGTAATCCAAAATAACAATGTACTTGCATGTCTTTACTTATAAACAACATAGTTACACAACCTGTAAAGGCTATAATAGCAACATGATTAGAGTTTTTTTTTTACCGATTAATAGTAATATCAGGGCCGTCCCAAATCGATTTGAGGCCCAGGGCGAAAACGAAAGATGAGGCCCTTCAAAATTTAGTAATCGCTAACAATAATACAATGGTGTTATGGAGAAGAGTACAAGAGATTATATATATATATATATATATATATATATATATATATATATATATATATATATATATATATATATATATATATATATATATATACACACACACACACGCGCGCGCGCGAATAAAACCATTTGGTTAGTGCATAAAAACCAATAACAAAGCAAAATAAAAAAAATGAACTACAAAACAACCGACCCATTTGAAAAACCATCCATTTGGTGTTTGAAAAAAAAAACAAAAAGATAGTGTTTGGAAAAAAAACTAACCTGATGACCTGCCATTAATATATTGTTATCAAACCTAGAAAAAGAATTATATATTAAAAGACGATAAAAAATTGAAAATTTCATATATAAACAGAGAATATATAAACAGAGAAATTATGTATAATAATGGGTTAGAAAAACACCAAAATAAAACATGAAATAATTGTTTTGTGGTTTGCTGAAAAAACAAAGAGAGTCAAGGGACCATTTGTGTAACTTGTATGATTTGTAAATAACCAAGAAGAATGTGGGGGCTTTTCTAGATTTCAATTTCAATAAAATGATAAATAAAAGAAGTTAGGCGCCTATGAACGAAATTGTTAATCTAAAAACTGCATATAGATAGAATCGAACACGGGCTATTGAATTGAAAAAGGTGAAACAAGTAAAAACTGCATATAGATAGAATCGAACACGGGCTATTGAATTGAAAAAGGTGAAACAAGTAATGAAAGAAATTATTAATGTAAAAACTATGGATATAGGGCTATTGAATTGAAAAAGGTGAAACAAGTAATGAAAGAAATTATTAATGTAAAAACTATGGATATAGAAGGAATCGAACATGGGGCTACTAAGAAAACGTGAAATGCTTTCCAACGCTGCTAACCAACTCATCTACTTAAACATTTTGTAACTCTTTTGACACAAATCAGTTATATATATATATCAAACAGCATTAATTTGGGGCCCCAAACCGTAGTGAGGTCCGGGGCCATTGCCCAACTTGCCCACCCTATTGGGCCGGCCCTGAGTAATATGTAACAATTAACAAATAAAATAATTTGATCATATTGATAGCATTAGTCACTATTATGGATAAAAAAATATAAATATGTTTCTATAATTGATAAGAAAAATAAAAATGTACTCCTATTATAGGTAGAAAAGTGTGTTGGTATAATGGTATTATAGGTAAAAAATATGTTACTATTATAGGTAAAAAAGAAAGTACAATGCCTATATTGGAATCGAGAATAAACTATGACGATACTCTCCCCAAGTGATGTTATATTAAACTATATATCACATTCAACACAATGATAAATGTTACTTACTTGAAATTCACACAGAAAATTTTCTTGTAGTAAGTTTTGAACTTGACTAGCTAGAATTTTGATGACAAAATTTTGGATTAATTTATCATCTGTTTCTGTGTGTAGATGGATCCTCAAATATCTTCGATTGCACTTAGACATGCAACAGATTTGGTTGCCTCAGTCATGTCTATGATGTCATTTCTAGAGCCCACGGTATCATATGTACACTTTTATATATACGAAAAACAAATATTAAATTTAGTTTCATGAGTTACTTATTTAGAACAATGTTACACTTTTACAGGCTCATGAGACTGTTTCAACGTTTAAGGAGCTTGCAAAGGTTGCAAGCCAGGAGAAACTGTTGCTTGAAGAGTGTTTTGAACATTTCAGAGTAATTTCAACATTAGAGGTATAACTATTTATAACCGAATTTCGTTGTTTTTAACATGAATTATTATAGTCAGTCGATATTATTCTCAATTGAAACATTTTATTACAGAAACTTTGATAAAGCATGTGCATTGTTCTAGAATAGGGTACTTTTCTAACACACTTAAAAAGTTAACAACATTTTTAATTATTGAGTCCCTAGGTAGCGTCTCATCTTCAAACTTGGACATTAACTTTCAAGCATTGATGATTAAGATTTACTTCCCCATGGTGGGCCATGGGAATGGTTTTGCTGTAGAGGCCAAGCTAAAACTATTCGTGTTCTTAATTTGTTATCATTTATTCATTTTTGATCGTTTATCTCAATTTATTATGTTCTACAATAAGTTCAATAGTCGTATCCTTATTCTATTATTAAAATTTAATCTACAATTTAGTATCTAATACATAGTTTGTTTATTGTGCATGACAGATTGAAGAGAGGAGTCTAAGGTGTAACGTTATCGAACTTGCTTCATTCAGTGATCAACAATCTTGACTAAGAGAATGGCAACCACACCAACACAATTATATCCATGCATATATAGACCAGTGGCGGACGCAGACTGTTTTAATAGGGGTGTCCCTCGTACTTCAAGCGGATGCACGTAATAGAAAAAAAAAAAAAAAATTTACACTGCGTGCCGGAAATTGAGCAGTAGCCCGGGACCCCAAATACCCTGGGACCCCAAATACCCTACATAGGTCCGCCACTGGTTATGATACGAATGATTGTTTATAATGTTTTTTATTCAAATTTTTCATAAAAAGACAAATACTTTCTTAGATAAAGTAAATTAAAATGTTTTTTTTATTCCCAACAGGTTATTATATGTTGTCAAAGTATAAAAGTGACATGGTATCTAAGTTTAGTTTGCATCACAATGGGTTTTTAAGACAAACACTATTATATATGAATCCATAATTCAAAATTATATATTTTTTGAACAAAAAATTATTTATAGTTTAATGATGCAATTTTATATTCTAAACTTTTATTGTGTTTTTATAAATTGAATTCCTTACATGATATAAAAAAATCATGTATAAAGTCATGAACAAAAATTGTTCTTATTCCACTATTATTTTTTACTCTTTAATAAATTTTATCTTAAGTGAGCTATTTAATTTTTTTTGTATTGAAGTTTTTATATTTAAAAAATATACATTTAAATATAAATTATATATAATTTCTATGAATAAATTTTAAATCTTATTAAAAACTTATATATCTTATTTTGGATCAAATGTTTTGCATCAAAAATATATTTATATGTAAAGAATAAAAAGGAACTTACCATTTAGAACATAATTTTAGTTAAATTGTCAAACAATTTTATTAAAAGCATTGATGCATAAACTAATGAAACAAATTATTTATTTTATTGAATCAAATTTCAAATCTTATTAAAAAATTGTAAATTATATTCCAGATTAAAATTTTTGCATCGAAAATATAAATATAAAAAGAATCAGACAGAACTTACCATTTAGAACACTATTTTATTTAAACATTTAAACAATCTTATTAACTTTTTATAACTCATATTTGCATAAAAAGTTTAAGGGTAAAATGATTAAAAAAGAACTTAATATTTAGAACATCAATTTATTTAAACATCAAACAAATTTATTAATGAGTGTATAGTTCTTTTGTAAAAAAATATATCAAACAAATTTAAAAACATTAGATTTCACTTCTTTTATTGCGAATTTATGGCAATTTGTACATCATGTTTTTCACTTGTCCTATATTTTATATATTTACAACATTTATGACATTTTCTTCCATCCTTATTTACTTTTTCAGCAACAATCTCCTTATTTCTCTTCATTCTTTTCTTCGTTCTTCGACCACCTTTGTTATTGATTAATGTAGGAGGTAATATCTTTTTTCCCTTGTTGTTTAACTCCCATCAAAGTCTTAATAACTTCTTTGTTTTTCATTGATTTTGCATTTTTGTTTCTTTGTTAACATTTGTCATCTTCTCATTCATTTCATCTCTACATAAGATCAATTTGTAAAAATCATTCACTTGCCTATCAATGCAGAACTCCATTGCAAATTCTAATTCCCATATAACAGATTGAATTTCTTCTTTCTTTTCGTTTATATGGATATTTGTTAGATTATAAGTATGAGTGTATCGTGGTACCACATCTTTTACTCATCTCTTTGTCAAGTATGTTTTTGGATAACTTTCCACACCTTCCATTCTTAAAACATAAAAACAGTGACTGCATAAAATTCCCGTCAATTCAAATATGAAGTAAGAACAAAGAAGTTTTTGATCTGATTTAAAAAGTTTAACCTGTAAAAAAAATGGTAAATAGTTAGCATAAGTTAATTTAATAAGAATAATATAATTGTAATTTATAATGTATCTCAAATTGTCCATGACGTTTTCGATGTTTGTCTGTATCTTTTATAATAAATCTTTTCAATTCTTTTGAGTCCTCTAATGTTATTGACATGCAACTAACCATTTATGCAAGAATCTATGATTGAATATCAAAGAAAACATTTATTATGAAGAATTCAACTACTTCAACTTCAAGTTTCAATCTAGTTTTAAAATATTGTTTTGTGCATCTTGAAGCGTGATAATTTTTCTTTGAACACATCTTTTTTCCTTCTAATGCAATATAAAAATGAGTTGAAAATTCTATTAACTTCAAATACGAGTTAGAGTGTAGCCTGTAAATATAATTTCCAGCTTTAGATCTTGATGTGGTCCTCATCAATCCAGAGAATGAACATTCTTTGAAATAAGCAGGAACCCATAGATCTCTCATTTTGTATATCTCGTTAAAGCAATTGTTTTCATTTAAGTGAAACTCATCCATTATCTTTTTCAATATTGACTCAAAGAGACTTTGAGTAATGTTTCATTCCAAATGAGATTGCTTAACTTTTTGAAAACATCTATTTTTCCATATGACTTCCCAATTGCATACATATTTATATAATTAAAAAAACATGTGTATTAAATAAATAAATATTTTATAATATTGTACTAACCTTGTAAGTAAATTTTTGATATATGTGCCACATACATTATGTCTTGCACCCATAAATACCGTTGGTGCTACTTGTAAAATTACAAAGTCTTGATCTGTTACAATTACATATGGCTCTTTGAGATATGTTTTTTTGAAAGCATGTAGTATCCATAAGTAAGATTCAATGATTTCACATGAAAGTAACCCGACTACAAAAGTTATGCATCGTTTATGATTATATCAGTAAATGGTACAAAAATCATCATATATCTGTAAAACAAAGAAAGAAAATTTATACTATTATGCAAATATCATCATATATCTTAGTAATGATGTACCTTATATTTTTATTGATTCAAATTTTTAGTAAGATGTAAATATATGTATTTAACATTTTAATATTATTAAATTATGCAACTCATGTTTATATGTTTATATTGATTCAAATATAATTATTATTGTTAATAGATTAAAATTCATAAAACTAATGATTCTAAATACAATGATTCAAAAACATAATTTAATGATTCACATACTAATGATTTAGACTTTCCTTAATTAAAGATAATCATTAAAGATTCATTTACTTTTTGAATCTTTTATTTTATAATTTATATTCAAAAATAATATGATTCTTATTATTGTTTTTTATAGAAATTTTAAAATATAATTATTATTTTACTATCGATTCAAAAATTAATGATACAAAATTGTTCTAATTAAAAATAATGATTCACTATCTTGGTATTTGTAAATACTATAATTCAAAGATATAAGTAAATTGTATAATCACTTGTTTGTTTGGTAAATTACATCAAAAGCAACAACATCTTCAAAGGAAAAATAGTTTTGTTTTGCTTCTTCATTCGCCCAAAACAATCTAGCCAATTTTCGATTACTTCCAACACTAAAGTCAAACGAAAAATCTTGCAAATAATCTTTTTAATTACTTCATCAACTGCTTTATCACAAAATATGCATCTATTTCTCCTATAAATTCAATCAAATCCCTTTTGAAATTTTTTGTATATGTTCTTGTAGCTCTGGTATTCTCAAAACCAACCATGGACTCTTTGATGTATTTATATGCAGTACTTGGTCCCATGTTCACATTTGATATATCATATGTCATTTTCTTTTATGAAAACCTGAGTCTTCTTTCAGAATTTAGAAAACTTTTATCTTCTTCGTGAACAAATATATGTGTGTTCTTCTTTAAGCTTATATATTTGTCATACTCTATCCTTATTGACCTTCATTCTCACATATGTTTCACGGTTTACTCTAACAGAAGGTCGTATGTGTTTTTTGTTGTTTGAACCTTTTAGAGTATAATATGCATTTTTCTTTTTGGATCCTTGCATATTGTATACTATGTATATCCTTCCATAACCTTGAACTCATTTTATTGTTTTTGTAGATGTTATTCTTGTTTAAAAACCACTTTTCCTAGCATACTATTTATAAACTGTTAAACCATCTTCAAGTGCTGGAAAATTTTGTCTCTTATAAGATCTGATATCTATATCTGGAGTCCAGTAAGTTTTTCCATCAATTATGCTCACAATTGGATACGTTTAGAAGATGATGAAGATGCAACATTTCCTGATTAAGATCCAATATTTGATGTCATAGAACCATTATTTTCTGTTCAAAAAACGTTCTATCATAATATATGATGTACCAAAAAACAATATTTTTAATAATAAAATTACCTTGATCAATAAATATTGTATCATAATATATGATAGTACCAAAAAAACTATTTTTAATAATAAAATTATATTGATCATTACTTTATGAATATGTTGTTTTCTTGTTTCCACTTTCTACATCATTAATATGCATTACAGATTCTACATTCACTGAATGTTGATCCATAAATGATGTTTTTATTATAAAATCAACAATTATAACATGTTTTTGACCTAAATATTAACATAGAAATTGATATTTATATGTTTCTTACATATCACATTGTTGATTTTTAATTAACGTCTAGTATTAGTAAATTTTGATGTCAATCAACATATTATCGATAAAAATTTGAAAAGAAATGTTTTTCATACACTAGTTGCGATGATTTTAAGTATTTTATGAATAAAAATTTGGTTTTTAACCTAATCCTAAAACAGTGTCGTATATAAACAAATGTTGGTATAAATCATGTTTTTCCAATCGTAATAATGATGAATATAGATTCAAATCGAAGTTTTGAACATAAATTAGAGTTAAGCATGTTTTTTTTTGTAAATGATTTTATAAAAATCATGACTGGTTTTTCTTAGTTTGGTATAGAGCATGGCAATCGATAGTAAGGTATCCTTTTTGAGTTCTGATCTAACCTAAATTTTGAGCTATTTGAATCGAAATTGTAATTTTTTTTTTTCAATTTTACTAATCATCAAAGCAAATTTCAATTTGTTTCAGTTTTCGTTTAAATTTATTGACGATTAGAGCAAATTTTAATTTTTTTTAAACATAAATTTAAGATTA